AAATGTCTATGTATACAAAATGGACTATGATTTACAAGAATTTACGTTTTATATGTGCCCCGTGTATGTGAAATGGGTTTTTAGCTACAAGATATTACGTTTTATATCTACCCTTGTTCCAGATCTTGCTATGTGCATGAATAAACTATGAAAATTTTAAATATTTTTAGCGCTATTCTCTTTCTAAGTACAATAGAATCTCTCTGTAAAAGACACCTATTTGCAGAGGCAAACTGTCATTTAAGAAAAGATGTCCTCTTACCATAGAGTTGCTAAATAGGAAGAATGGCAATTTTGACAATGAAAACTATTCTTTGTAGAGAAGTGTCCTCTAGCATGAGTATCCTCTAATGGAGGTTCTACTGTATATATAATTGAAAGCTATTTCTACAGCCCCTTTACTGCAATGAATAAAACTTAAAAAAAGAAAAGGGGGGGTGCATGATTAATCAGTGGTGAACCCACCCAGGGTTTCGCCATTTTAATCTTCTCTCAGACCGCTCTACTCTTGCATTAGACTGCTGGTTCTAAAATCACTTTATTAGGTACCGCTCAACAAGAGCAACCTAGTTTATGATAATTGAAACAATGAATAATATGCGAGTTATTCACATATAAAACAAAAGGTTAACGCGGGATTAAATCCTGGTTCATGACTGTCGGGAATCGAGGGTGTTACCTACTCGTCTACTGACTTTTATGCGTTGCTTGCATTAGACTGGATTTCTTATATCTCGTATATCCTACATTTGCTATTGAATACAGTAAATTGATGTTTTGAAATAATTACTAACACAGATACTTCTAGGACTGTAGATATGTATATCTTTATTAAAGATATAGTGCATATAGCGATGCTCTTCCGCAAAGTCACACATAAGCCTGTTAGACAACATTTAAAATACATGTTCATCCCCGACTTCTAATTTAATAAAATCAGTAAGCAATCCAGGGTGCAGGGTGCCAGGGGCAATCCATTTCTCTAGCTTCGGGCTAACATGTCCTTCAACAGGAGCACCCAGCTAACTATACACGCCTTAATAAAGCCAAAAAACGTACATACAAGATTTCTGGCAAATTGCCTTTCCACGGGTACAATGTATCCTTATTGTAACCGCTGAAAGGCGATTTGCCCGAAAGCTTGTATGTACCTTTGTTTATAAATGAAAGAAAATCTCCCCCCCAGTCTTGTAATTTCTCTTCTAATGATAACACTCATGGAGACAAAACTTAAGGAAGTTGTACCCTTTATCATGTATATCGAGATTCATACAATAACTCTGAAATATATTACAATGACCTTGATATATAGGTAATATGAACAACATAATTGATGAAACGGATCTGGTTATTATTGTTGTCGTGTTCAATGAAGAGCCTCAGATATCCTCAAGCATCTCTATCACCCCAGTGTTTCTGTTTCGAATAGGAGCTATAGACGATCCATGGTGTGGAGAGAGAAGGCAGGATTCCTGTCACCTGCTTATTGAATGTCCAATCTTCCAGAACTACAGAAAGCGGAAAGACATTGAATACAAGAATCTCTTTATGTTTATAAATAGTAAGTATTCATATTTAAAATTTAGGAAATTCTGTAAATACAGTGGTACCTCGACATACGAGTTTAATTCGTTCCGCAACCTTGCTCGTATCTTGAATTACTCGTATCTCGAAGCAAATTTCCCCATACAAAACAATTGAACTACCATTAATCCGTTCCAACCTCCAAAATGTCACCCCAGTTATTTTTGTTACGTGGTTTTAAATAATAAAAACGTATTTATAAATATCAAATATTTATTGCACAAAAACAAAAAAAAGAGAATGTAAAGAAATAAATTAGATATCCTCACTGGGCTTTGCCTTTTTCGCTACATTTTTCTCGCTTTCACCTGTAGGCCGTTTAGAAAAAAACATGTCCAAGGAGGTTTGTTTCTTCCTCCCTCTCAGAATGTTCCGGAAATGAGTTAGGCAAGTGTCATTAAAAAGGTCAGATGCACGACCTGTTGCAACTTTTTCTGGGTGTTTTTTTTTTCCACGAACTGTGAAACTCTCTCCCACATTCCTAAGATCTCCTTTATCTCACTTGTAGAAATAACCTCCTCCTCTGACTCCTCAAAACCAATTACTTGCATAACCTCAGTATGCTGCTGTGACTGTAACTCT